AAAAAAAAAAAAAAAAAAAAAAAAAGCACGGCATGTCAGAAGAACTGACAAAGATCAGACCCTCTGTGGACTCTTTTTTTCTCTTGATGGTCAGGTCCTACTGGTCCTRTGTTCATTCGSGGAAAGCWCGAACCCAGTCAAAAAACTACAGTCATGTTCGTCCTTTGCTACCATGAACCTGGCACCAGTGGGGTGTGGCAGTGARCCTCGCACCAAAGATCAACACTTCTAAAAAGCGTACACAGCACCGCACTCTGCCAAAGCCAAAAATGGTGACAGCATTGGCATGTGTTGGACTCTTTCTTTCAGACAATAGCAAATGGCTATTCTTCTATACCGGAAAGAGCTAAGCTTTCCTAAATCTCAAGCTTAGCACATGGCTATTCTATAGCAGAACTTACAAAGCATGAGAAACTAGAAAGCCTGAGCATTATACCCCAGCCCATGTTGCTGAATGGCACACACAAACCTAGGCTTGAATCCCGATGGACATTGGACACAGATAAGCAGGGATGGACAGTTTACCAGTGACACCTCAAGGTAGCCGCCCTTTTTTTCTTTAAAAAAACACAAAAAAAGGTGTTTCATCTTAAAAAAAAAAAAAAGCCTGAGCACTATCTGCAAAGTTTGTGGCTGGAGTGATACCTTTCCAGTGTTTCCACAAGTTTCCAGGTAATGCTCCTTTTAAAGCGACAAGTACAGCTGAAGAATCTGGTCAGATGATGAAGAATCTGTCATAATTATGGAGTGAAGATGAAGAATCTGGTCATAATTCTGGAGTGCTGACGTCTACGACATGAAATGCAATTGAAAAAGGGGATGCCAACTACAGCAGCTGATTCTGCTCGACAATTTCGATGCAAAAATCATCTCCATAGCTCACACAGGAGACACAACGCTCTTCCTCTTCCATTCAGTCCATGGCCATGGCTGGCTCCAGGTAATGCTCCTTTTAAAGCGACAAGTACAGCTGAAGAATCTGGTCAGATGATGAAGAATCTGGTCATAATTATGGAGTGATGATGAAGAATCTGGTCATAATTCTGGAGTGCTGACGTCTACGACATGAAATGCAACTGAAAAAGGGGATGCCAACTACAGCAGCCGATTCTGCTTGACAATTTCGATGCAAAAATCATCTCCATAGCTCACACAGGAGACACAACGCTCTTCCTCTTCCATTCAGTCCATGGSCATGGCTGGCTCCAGTGCACAACATTCGAAATGCATCTCCTGACTGCTGATGGTCCGAAACTCCCAATGCATCAAAAATGTTGTATGAGTCCAGAAGTATCTGGTCCACCATACAGTCAAGATACATGTTGAATGTTGAGTTGTGGATCCAGGCCCTCAGTCCTGGATAATTGTGACTGACCTGTGCGACCAATACTTTTTTCTGTTTCCTTTTCGCTTTTTTTCTTTTTCAAACTCAGCTGCGCAAACAATCCTTRTCCGGCTCAATCGAGCATTTGAACTTTGTTACTTCTCTTTTCTCCTCTTTCCACAGCCACACAGACAAAGTTAAGATTCCCTATGGAAAGCTCAGAAATGATGAGAAAAGGATGCAAGGTCATACCAATTGCCCTTGACATGGCGAGCACGCCCTCCACTCGAGGTACATCCCAGTCGAGAACTCTCCCTCCGGCACTTCTGACCCGTTCCAACTCATCTGGGCGCTCTGGCTGCACACATTCCGAGCGAGCAATTTGGCACCCTTTCATTAAGCTGCAATCAGACTGCTTTCATTCACACTTTACATGCATGCAAACAGCAGCGCAGCAAACTGGCGACATGCGCCCACTCGGTACGGTACTCAGAGATATGGCAACCCAGATACGAGTTCACTTTGAATGGCTGTGGCGACACAGCGCCCATACAACTCTCGGTTCGCATACAACGGATCACCCTGGATATCCCACACGCGATTCTCTGAACACACACACACACACACACACACACACACACACACTGAACCCCAACTACAGCTGCGGCGGCTATGGCCGACGCTACCCTATCGCTATGGCTAAGCTTCGTCTCTCTGCCCACTTCGTCTTCGGGCTTGCTGCAGACCACCTCGCACAAGTCGCTGTGGCAGCGCTTCCGCATGGCTCCCGCAGGAATGAATGAATGGCTGGGCGCTGCCTCTTGATTTATACTTCTGCAGCTCGTTGGTCTGGTGCACACAGTCCCATGCGGTACTTGCTTGACTGGACCAGGACTAACTGGGGACTGGGACTGCTGACTCAGCACGGGTAGACTCTACCACTTGACCACTTGCCT